CTTATTAACGTTACAGTAAGATGCTGATATCGCTGTGTTACTCAACGAGGGTTGAACAGCGCTCCTCATCCGGCATCTAACAGATCGACGCCGCCAATTTGTGCTCTGAGTGGGTGCTTTTAGAACATCTTGCAGAGATGTCAGAATGTCTTAAATAAACTTGTCATAACTTGGCACTTGTCGCTCTGAACAGATCTGAATCACGCGGTCAAACCCCTCGCTGGTGATGTCTGCGATGAAACAAAAAAACGGATCGCGCTGCCTTCTTATACAAAGTAGTTGCGAGCTGCGCGACGGGGCTTTTTCCATGCTGTTGATGAGATTTATGAGGCTTCTTGAAAACCGGCTGCTCTCGAGTGAGCGTGAGAATTTTCTAACCTACTTACTTCCGGTCCTTTTCCTTTGACGCCTCTTAGTCGAATATAATTTTCTATATAAAAAGTTTGCGTGTTTTGATTGTCACTGTTGACAAATACCTGAACAAACAACTTTAGAATGGCTTTTGTTCAACACTTCTGTTCAAACGAGTTCATGGCAGTGGGATGTGTAAATCTACGCGATGACCGATCGCTTATATGATGCTTAATTTATTTCAAAGTTTTCAAACACTGTTCATGGCCAATATTCGGCTGACCTTATGACTTATGACCTAGGAAAAAACGATGCAAAGACTGATGCGTCGATAAAATTATGATTCAGAGAAACTGGATCACAGTGTCATGATGGTAGTGTCATGACTGCTGTTTTTGTAATTATGTGGCGTGTTTCATGTGACAGTTCATTAGATGTGTTTGTTATGCTTGATATCTTTTTATATAACTTCAATATCATCTCCATTGATTGATGTCAGTGATCTGAGCTGTGCGAAATATCAGATTTTGTACTTTAGATTCACGAAAGGAAAGAAAGTAATAGAGCTGCTTTCTGCCTTTCTCCGCCGCGAATATTCTGTGAATTAATTGCGTCCTTTGCTGAGGTCTAAGGCTACCTACTTCTAATCAGATTCTTCGCTTATCAGTCGTTCTTATGCAGCGTTAGGCACTTGACTTTTTTTCATTGTTGTACAATGTTTCTGGCGTAGCATCGATCCATAAATTTGTTGTCACTGCTGTGTTAAATGATATTAGAATAGATCTAGGACCTTTAAAATCAGAATTCGATCGTTGAAAGCGTTTCAGCGAAACCTCGAACCTGAGCTTGTTAAACTCATTTAGATTTCATGACTGATTTAATAGCTATCTTAGTAGATAGGCAGAAAACGTGCATCGTTCTTTATCCTGTCCTATCAGATATTGTGTGTTATTCATAATCAGTGACACAGAACAGGTGAAACGTTTCAGTATTATCATCAACAGTATATTGTCAAGCAGTCGATGAATTCAATGATGTCATTGAAACATTAAATCATTCAATCTGTAACAAGTGAAAATATATAAAACATTCTTTCATATGCAACATTTAAATTGCTGACAAAGAATAAGCTTGGTAGCTGTAGTTCAGTGTCGACTGTTCAGTTCAATAACAGATAGCTAAATAAGTGCCATGGATTATCAGCACACAACATCAATTTACAGCGTAGATAAATTTTTGCAGGCTGCATCGTTCTCCTTGCATGAAATGCGCGCTTGCACTATGATGTTAATTCAGAAGCAAATATCACGCTTATCAAAAGCAGTTGGCCTCAAGCTGATAATGATAAGTTCAAATAAATTTTCTGCTATAGTTTACTTTACATTTATTTTCTATGGCCTTTTGCTTGAGACTAAATGCTGGTTTTGTACGTCGAGACTTGACCTTGAAGGATGGAATCAATTAGATTAGAAAGTCATTATATGAAGTATGGGTTAGCAGTTGCAGCATTTCGACGCGGGATTTTCCTGTAAACGGCGTGTGGGCTGCAGGGATTAGAAAAGACAAGTCATTGAGTAATACGTGTAAACCAGAGTCAGCATCTAAGTGTTCATGTTCAAGAAAGCCATGCCTGCTTAAATGGCTCTTCGATGATAAGAATTTGATGCTTCCTCTGTTTCTCAGTATTTATGTTCAAACTAAGTCATTTATAAGAGCAGTTCATAAACGGGAAATACAAATAACACTTGCAACATCATTTGGATTACTTGAATCGGTCACAATGTGAATTTAAAAAACATATTAACCGTAAGCTGTTTTAAAGTCACTTTAATGCAGGTATATTTTGCTAAAGCAATTTGATTTTCTGAGAGCTGTTGTCGACTGTTCTAGATAATTCATGTCTTCAACGCACATCAGACTAAACGGTTGTAGATGTAGTTGTCCACTGTGCTCTTCATATGCCAAAAGACACACATCATAGCTGAAACTTGACTCCTCCCTTGTTGCTTGTCCCAAGCTCAGATGAGAAATATGGGGGAGGTAGAGACGGTAGTGAGGTTTACCGTAAAGTTAAGCCACTTTTTCCTCATGGCATTGCGGTTGTCAAATGAAGCACCCAGGGGATGACCATGAATGGCCAAGGCGAGTGTCTGGTCATGCTCTGTTCCACAATCAGGTTATTTCCTGCTGAAACTCAAAGATGGCACCTGATTGGGAACGTCAAGACACTGCCTACGCAACTCAAAGGGACAAGTGATGATGAAAAATGACTGACTGGTTTAAACTGAAAAACAAGTATGCTGTTAGAACTCAGAACGATTGCAGTTTGCTTTCCAAAAGATAAATTCCAGGAAGAGCGTTGCCCTGCTTGGAGCTTGAAACGGTTATCTAACGAATGAGTGACATTATCATGCTTAGCGCTGCGCTAGGAAAACAACTAGTGACTAGTGCATTGCATTGCAGGGGACAGAGCGACATTCACTCACAGACGAGCAACCGGTTCTGTCTGTGACATCTGTGGTGAAGGTGCAACTTTTAGGACTTCCTCATTTGTCACGCAGTCGCAAAAACAACCATCGTAAATTACTGAGGAGCAACGTCAAGCAGTGCCCACCGGGTGGTTGTGGCAATTCAAGAGTGAGTAATTATTGCCACAATGATTGATTATATTTGGAACTAAGCTAAAAATGGGCAACAATTGATTTATATTTATTATCAGCCTCATAATTGTAGTAACATACTATAAACACCGCACACTCTTGTTTAATCATTCCCCTTCGTATGCTGGCCATCAGTTGGCAGCTATCGCAAATCGTTATACGTTTGTTACTGTTCCTCCTATCAAACGTTGATATATTTAGCCTGTTCAGTCATCTTTTTAGAATTATTAGAAAATTACAGCATGTATG